CGCGCCCACTCCCGGGTTAAGTGATTATTAATAAACTATATTATAACTGTGTAATATTTTTAGGATACACAAAAAGTGAAATAATTACATGTTTGCTGAAATATTGAAGATTATACTTAACCTAACTTTATGACAATATTATAATGTAAGCTCATCTTATAAAGTTAATGGCAGATTGCAGTAACATGTTCATTAAAATATGTAAGCTTGTAACCTACCCATAAACTTACTGCAATGCTCGGTGCTGTGAGGGGGAAGCTGGAATAAAAAAATAAATTCAAGGAAAGAATCGGTTCAATATATACAATTACAAAGAATACATAAGATATACAATATTTTATTTTATGAGAATATTTGTTACTTATCTGACATATATATTTCTTTATTCTCCATTTACTTTTCTCCATGTCTATATGTCTCATCTTCTGTAATCTTCTTTGATTTCTTTAAGTTTCCTTTCTTCCTTGATGATAGTTCCAATGCGAAGGACGATGTTTCAATTATTAATAATATTTATTAAAGTACATCAAAAATCTGAAAAGTGAAACATTAATATATTAAATGTATAATTAATATAATAACGTATCCTCTTATATTTTTCACCTTATTCTTCTCTATGCACTTTATTTTTCCTTATTCGTGTTATATTTTTTTAATTTATTTTTCAATTTTAATTAAATGTCTCTGTGCATTTTCGTTCTATACTGTTTATTATTTTATATATATGTATGTACACACGTATGTGTCAAAAGACTCCGCGACTCATGGATTTACTACTTCAATAGTGTCACCAATTCAGAGAATTAATGTTCCGCTATCCAGGGGTTTTCGTTGGTACCAATATATTCCCCATCGTTTTCAATCATCAGTTTTCGGGATAATGTCGCGTAACCCACGAAACCGACAAGTCGGAAGACGGTTAACTACATGGTCAGTTAATCAATCAAATAACCTATCAAAAAATATGAGAAAAGTGGCTTGATTAGGCGATTTTTTGCGATCCTTTGGTACATGTACCAAGGTTGATATTGGTAGAGGCGGAATTTATTTTGATATATATACCATTACTATATACCACTGCTAACGTTAAAATGGACTGGTTCTTTTCTGTTTACGCGCGACTTCAAAACAGTTTAAATCTAATCGAATCTAAAGCTACTTTCAACCAATAGACACAAATCGTCACAATCATCCTATCTTTACACACAGAGTGGAACAAAGACAGAATGATACTGTTGACTTGTGATAGTGTTGACTTGTGTCTTTTGCTAGAAAGTAACTATGAGTTTAAAAAGATGTTTACTTACGTATATATATAAAATATATGATGATAAAGATAAATTTTTTTTTTTAGAAATGTATAGGCAGCTTTTCAAAGTACAAAATGCAAAAAAGAAAAGACGTCTATTATTTTTAAAGAAAAAACAACAATGTACTCGTACTGGGTAGCGATCATGAATCTTTTCCCCTAGTGTAAACTCGTGAAAAGTGAAAATTTTGTAATGAACTCGTGAAAGATGAAAACTTTCATTAAACTCGTGAAAAATGAAAGATTTAACGTGAATTTGTAAAAATTGAAATTTTTCACGCAAAAGTTTTGTTCAACATGGCAGCTGCATTATTAATTTTTGTTAACGAAATAAATGATCAAGACGAGAGAAATAATCAAAGAATAATGCGAAGGATGTTACGTGACACACAAAATCCATTTGATATCCAAGAAGAAATATTTCAAAGTTTGTATAGGTAATATTAATTATGTCACATTGTATATACATTGTCTATAAGCATTTTTTTATTAATATTTTTAGATTATATATGAGTATGTGTGTATCTATATTGACACAGATTTTTATAAGTTTCGATGTGTACATATATATATATATATATATATATATATATATGTATATA